ATTGTGTTTCTTTCGGAGAAGATGGGCAACAACGGCGCCAGGTGTATGTTTTATGGGCCTTCCGATTACTGACAGTTCACGAGTGAGAGGGCTTATCGAGTTGGTCAAGACTTGCGAGCAAACATACTCGCTAATCGTGCGGAGTAGAAATCGGGTCTTCGCACTGCTTGTTCACAATCTTTTCTCTCAGAGAGTCTTCATTTGCTCGCGCTAACATCGTGCCAAGTTGACATTCACTTAGCCTCGCAAGGAGTAGAAACGTTCTGACACAGTTCCGAAATCTTCGAAGAACATGCACGAGATAAATTGGGCAATTGAAAGTGCCCAGTGTGAGGAAAACGTAAGTCATCCAGGTAAAGAAGAAATACATCGGAAAAACTAGAAACTTACGAAATCTGAAGCGAAACCGCTGTGAAATCGTGCGCAGACGTTGATTAATTAATCAACGTATTATAGGCCACTATCTGACACGGGTTGTAGGTGATTTGGGATTTTTTTCATCTGCTTGCAAACCAAACAGGGAGTGAAAAGAAAAGAATGTTTGTTTATTTATTTATTTCATTCCAAAGCTTATAAATCGTCCCTTTTTTCTTTCGAGCTTGTCTAGCCTGTCAGACGTATTATCTGTCTGAAAAACATGTCTCGGTCCTACGGGACACTTCCGCTGTTAACGTCGCCTTTGGTAGAAAGAAAAGTATATCATCTCTAATCACGTGCTAGAAAATTCATTGCTCGGTACTTGAACCTAAACGGAATGAACCATTCAAGTGGGTCCTTAATACTGTCGGATCTTTAACTTTATCATGTTGCCTTTGTACAGTCATACTTCAGAAATCCAGATATATGCAAAACAGAAACGTCAGCTTTCCAGGAATCAACTGTTCGGTCAACGTTCTTCAGTTGGAGATTAAGCTCGCAGCTTTCGAACATCAATCACATCCTGTGTACTGAAACCCCATAGATCTGTTCTTCGAGAACACGGATTTTTCATTAAGTGAAACAAGTTTCATTGCTGTTTTCATCGCAGGCTGTCTCTGCCCACGCTTGAGCCCACTTTCCAATTATATCTTTTCCTACTTCCAGGTTTCTACAATTTAGCCTCACTACCAGATTTTCTCATTTATCCAAACAATGAAACTTTCAATTAATTTTTACGAGGCGATAGTATCGTCTTAGTGACATTATTTGCTGTAACTAGAGGATTGAATTTTTTAAACAAGCTAAGCTGATGTGGACATGAGATTTGACGTAGACGAAACTCTGTTCTAAAGAAAGGTGTTTGGTCATACTTTACATAATGGTACAGAAGTAACAACAACTTGTGCACGAACCGCAAATCAAAAAATCTGAACTTGCTGAGCTGAAAGTGGTAAAGAATAGTATGTGTCCAGATCTATAAAGAACCGCTAGGAGACACGCCGACCTCAGTCCAACGTGTTCTACTTGGCAAGCTTTATGTTCCCAATCATCCCTCTGATTGCTGAATACGTGCCTACAAATCCTGTAATGATCCCGATGAACAAAACAACAATTAATACGGGAAATTCTGCAGATGATATTCCCCCTGCTCGTCCGTATATTCTTAGGTAGCACAAGCAAGGAAGGATGACAGCCACCGCAATACTTAAAAATGATCCAATGAATCCCATCATGAGGCCGAAGAAGGGAAACGCAAGGGCGACTACAATTGTGCTAAGAACCAGGAGACCTCTAATACAGACAGCTCCCGCCATGAATTGCTTGGATTTTGGGGTCCAGGGCAAAAACTCTTCCAAAGCTACTGCAAGTGGGGTGATGGTCAGTGCAAACTTGGCGAAGGGGTTTACAAGGATAATCCATATTGCGATTCTAGAGGATATCAAAGTTTTTGGCAGATTTAGAGTGACTTGCGATTCCAGTTCGTCTCCAAACATGGTGTAGCCCATAACTCCTATACCTCCATACATGATGGTAACGGCAGAAAAGCAGACGATCAGCACCTGCCGTAAAAACCATTAAAGATATTAGACACGTCCCCACTGACAAGACGCTTCAACATCTTCCACTGATTCCCACCCCTAAATGACAGAATATCATGCACTTCATTGGTCTACATTTGTACCGGAATGAAACCTGAAGAAGAAACTTCGGGAACAGGAAAATAAGAAATACCAAGACTAAGCCCACCCAGTTTCCTAAAAGAAAACCTAATGAAACCATGGACATTCATTCCATGCAGTGCAGAATACTCAGAAAGACTGGTGCTTTCAACAAAGAAGACCTGCTAAGTTTGGAATAGACCAGACCTACCATTGAGAACTGTTCTTTGTTTTTCATAGACCTGTAGATGCTGGGGAAAACGGCATGTCCACAGAAGCAGAATGCACATATCCCGACGGCAACTGGAAGTCCGCTGAAATTCATAAGAGTGCCAGTATGACTGAACCCTACACCTTCAAATGCTCCCACGTATCCCACTGTAGATAATATCGCCAAGACTGCTATCACTCCTCCAGCTGATATGTACGATAAGACGCTCAAATCCCGTAACCACACCGTAGGCATAAAGAAAAGTCCTGAAAAGATGATGTACAATTGATGCGCACTGATGCTCGAATTGCCAATGGTCACGTCCGCGAATGGGAAAAGATTGGCCAGATTATCTCCTTCCATAATGAGGAACTCTACCGTAACGCAGTAGAGTTCGAAGTACAGCATTATGGAGACCAGCAACCGTCCTTTTCGCCCAAAGGCTGCTTGGCCAATATCTGGGTAGGAAACTACTGAAGGGTCCGTGTCCAGGCACCTTCGAAGAAGAATCCCTGTGTAGAGACATATGACCGCGAACAATAGAAGAAAGCCCAAAGTGGACCAACCTCCCTGCGAGAGGGCGTAAGGTGTGGACAAAATTCCAACTCCTGACAGCGAGGAAACACATGAATTAGAATGTACTGATCTCTGTTACCGCTGATCATTGGGATGACATCCACTATCGTCCTGACACCTACACCTGTGGGCGATGCACGCAGTCTGACAATGAAGACAGCCGGGGTACATCCGATTCAATGGCATCTCAAACCTGGTGGGTGACAGATATAAGCCATGTCTCCCAAAACAACCCACGCATCTTACGAGAAAGAACAACAATCCAAAAATTAATATGTCCAGGTTGATTTTTCCCCCTGGAAGCTAATTTCAAACACGTTCAAGCATGTGCCAGATACTAGAAGGAAACGCAGAAGCCATGATCATTACTATACCTGCAAGAACATTCGTTCCATTCAAACAGGCCTGCACGAATGAACTGCCGTCGTCCACAAACACCCCGCCTTCCTCTTCTACAACGGCTGCTGCTTCTTTCGCGATCAAAGCTTGCTCGTAATCTTTGAGGGCAGAACTTCTTGAATTTCTACGTTTCCCGCTCGTCTTCGGAACCGCACTCCGTAGCAAGGGCTCCTTCAGTGGGTCCTTCAGCTCTGAATGCAGGACCTCAGAGTCTCTGGAATCCGCGTCCGAGTGCTCGGTGCTGATTCTATCGCCGTGACAGGTCGCGTCACCAACTTCCCCATAAAACACCCCGCTGGGCGAGCGACTGTATATTTCCATCTGTCGTTCAAAAGTTTGAGGCCAGAGAGAGCCTCTTTTTGAAAGAGAAGATGAAACATGATACAGCGCCGAAGGTGATCTCACGAGACCTCCCTTTATGGCATTCGCCTCCGCCAAATGATGCTCGAGTAAATAACCGAGATGCGGCACCTCTTCGCCATCCCGTGGAGGAATGTCAACACTTTCTGCCCGTCCTCCATAGTGTGTTGAAGACCTGTTTGTGGTGCCGTCGCCAAGTTCTGGCACTTTGTCTCCTTCACTCATATTGACGATTTTGACAAAAATCGTGAGTTCTGTGGAAGCACAGAGAGCAGAACCAATGGTTGTCACCAAATGTGCTAAATGGAGGAACACTGCAGAGTTTGCCTACATTGTCCTCACAGGACCGGTTTCTCCGCCGCACTGTACTCGCACCAATAGGTGAGGTTTCAGGAGGAAATCTGAAAGGAATATTTGACGATGATGTTTTCCTCCACTACGTGCATCGCATGATGATCTGAGGTAATCAAACCACCAATTTTCCTCGGGTTCTACATCCAAACACTGATGATCTTCACGAACCCGCAGAGTTAACCACAATCACCTCAGACGTCCATAACCTGCCGTGAACAAAAATCCAGCTTGTAAGTCCAGGTGCAATGCCCAAAGTTTTGATCCTGAACATCACACATTACAAAACCAGCTCGTAGTGTAAACAGTTCCCGGTGACAGCCCTTGCATGTGTCAGCATAATCCCCATGGCACAGTGGGAAATACCAAACTGCGGTAACTTCTCCCAGCGACAAGCATATATTGCAATGGATGAACCTTAAGATAAAAAGATGAAATTCCTGCTGTCAGATTTGATCCTGCTGTGTCGAGTGAAGCCAACAGATGTATATGCACGTACTGACGACGAAAGTCACAAATCTGACGTTCGTCCTGACCTGAAGAGAGCGAAGGGCCCCCAACACGTTGCACAATGTTGTATAGACTGGACTGTTACGTTCAAGCAGTTTAGTGTGAGACGGACGGCGCACACTATGCATTGAGCCCAAGGAGATGAGCACAACGCGCCATGAATCTCGAATTCGATAATGATAGCTCAAGCAGACAACCAGGCCTACCTAGTTACTCTGCGTCGATCACTCTGGTGTAGTCTGTAAAATTCTCGAATACAGCTCGTTTCGCTTAAAGACCGAGTCCTCCGAAGGTTCCCTCTAATTTCCACCGCAGAACCATTTACAAAGCCCCGATGCGCGGCAATTCACAGGACTTACGTGGATTTCAAATGCATAATAAACAAACCCACTCTTCACATTCATGATTAGACCATCGGCACATCCAAAAGTGACTCATTGCAGGTCAAATTCGCTCGGGCGGTGTACAGACACTCTCTCACACGAGAACTAAAAACAAAGCGAACATCCGGAAGGTGCCACCGGTAGAGTGGAGTCGAACCTACGACTAGCTGCTAGGGAAACTGACGCTCTATCCACTGAGCTACAGGCGCATTGCGTTAAAATTGGCAAGCATAGAACACCGATTTTCAAGCAAACTGTGATGAAATAATAGGCATGACTGATGCTATCTTGGAACCAGCTATCTTTTACTGTGTGAGACCCAGTAAAAATCTTGGTGCACAACCAGATTTGTGGTTTCCTCGCTTAGCTTCTAGCTGTTCTCGACCACTTCTTTCCAAAGTCAAGTTCTCAGTAATTTCACCAAAAGACACGTGACATATAAAAACTTTGGAGTTCTCAAAGAGCACGACAAGTCACCCATTGGTCCGGACCTTTTATTAATACAGAACAGACGACACGTGTGGGAAGCATGTCACTCAGTTAGAGGACGGCGTGTGAGTTCTCACACCATCACGTGCCTGTATGCTGACGAAGAAGAGGCAACGATACGAACCAAAAGATCTACTCACTCACAACAAGCGATGATGTGGCCCTCCAAAGATACATCTCATGTTCAAAAAAAGGACCGTGATGTCAGTAAGCCTCACCTTAGCCGTATGAGACAACGAAGAAAAACGACAAACAGTACATCATGACGTTCATTAACATGACCAGATATGACAACACTTCTAAACGAGCAAACCCAATTTTTGACAGAAAGATTTGGGAATTGGGCCGACCTCGTCTTTGAAAAGGCTAAAAGTTCCTATGAGTTGTTACTGCCTAGATAACATGACCGGGGTGTCGTAGGTATGCTATTTGCAATCTTAAACCACAGCATCATAAAAGTTCGTCACACGCATTTAATTACTCCCACTGCATCTACTTGCGCAATTTCATGCAAACTCGACAGCAACAACGCAAATGACATAAAATCCAGTGTAATCCCATAATTGCACGGGGCTAAACCCGAGCAGCTCGACAAGCGGACAGAGTACCATGGCTCAATCACTTTCATGATACTCAATCGGTCAAGGTAACGTCTCTGCACTGTACCCTAGGAACGAAACCTGTCGTTCAGCAAGAATCTATGGAACGGACGTTCAAAACTTTTCTCAACATTTCGCTGGACAGAGTCTGAGGGTGAAGATTTATTCATCACCTCATGTCAGCCCTCATGAACGAACGACTTGAAATCAGTCCCCCACATGAGAAAAAGTCATCACCGCGCTTCCACTAGCAGAACTACTGGAGGCAAAACTATTCCAGATTACCTGAACGCTGAAAACATCCGTTAGGGAACTCGAAACAAGCTGGCCTCGCACATGTATCCTACATGCATGTGCTGCCCGACGTTGTCAGGTCAAGGTGTAACAAAATAGTCGAGAAGACGCTGGATATAAGACGCTGCATTTATCTAAAATCCAAGTACAGGCTGTGGACATTCTTCCAAATTCCGTTCTTGCGTCAGAAAGTAGTTGCACCGATTCACATTCTCCAACCCTCCTCCAACCAGATAGAAATGAGTTTGCACGGCGCTAGAGATCGTCCACCTACGACCTAAACATCTCACGACCCCGACTGGTCACAACATTTGTACAGTTCCCCACCATACCAAGCATGAAGAAAACAACTCCGATGGGCGATAGTTGAGGACAGAGGACACTAAACAACTCCAACATCTAGCACGCAAACTTCTGAGGGAGACCACTCACAGCTGATAAACTGGTTTGTTGAGTCGAAAGTTTTAGGGCGATTAGCATGACTACCGGCGAGACCAGGAATGGGAGGTCTATCGTGAAAAATGCTTTCTGGTCCCCGACCGGACAGTGGCTCCTCGCAGTTACAAAAGCCGTATCACAACCATATCATGCAATGAAGCTCAGCTCCATTTCATGAGCGTCGTTGCTTGGTTTCGCCCCCGAAAACATCCAAACCTCCAGAGTGGACAGTCTTAAGAAACATTCTCCAAGTGGAGGGATGCCAGTAGAAAACAAACAAAAAGATTGACCTGAATCGACGACGAAACGAGGATGCCTGTGCACATTTTCGAGTGGATGTTAGACAACAGTGCACACCCCCAAATCGGGACAATTTGGGAATCTCATGATCGACAAAAAGTCGTTGGATGAGACGCCACCCGTCGACGCTTTGGCATTCGCTTTCCAGATGACGGCTTTGACATACTTACGATTGTACCCGACAATAAAGGTCAGGTCTGCATGCGGTGGACAAAGACCCTCTTGAGACACTTGGACTCAACCTCATCTGATTGCTCCTAGCATCAAAACGTCATTCTATGCCCTTTTCAGAAGTTGAATGTGTTACATAAGCATGCAGGATGACAATTGAAGAACACCGTTTCGAGCAAACATTTCATGATGGATCAAACATGAGTATATATTCACTGTCGTCCGTTTATCCTCACGCAAAATCACGCAATTCTGATGTAATCAACTTACACGCTTTCGACTCTCCTGTGCACCAGAAAATTTCTGCCGGGATGTTATCGAGGGTTAGCTGCAGAGGAGTCGGAAATAAGAATTTCAGAAGGTCTCTCTTGACCTTGTACTTCAAATGGAAGCTCTATTGACTTCAGGAATATAGGTCCTTGCAGTGATGATCAACTGGAGACCTCTCAAGGCCAAAATCGCAAATTTCTCCAGTCAAATGACCGTGTTACAACCTTGGCTGTCCAGTGTCCTGAGGCTCATGTCTGCTTATAAACGCGGGTTGCTTCAGTATATATACGCAAACAATACCGTCGACTCTTCTCCTTGTCAAAAAGTTATGTGGTTCAGGGTTAAAAGAAATGCAGCTAAAAAAGTTTTTGATTTCAAGAAGGATAAGGACCACAATCGAAGGAGTTCAATGTGACACAATTGGATTGCATGGATTCCTCTGGTATGTGATGTGAGAACTATTTCCGTCTCCGGGCTTCTACATTCTTCTGGGCCCACTCTTGTGATACACTTAAGCTCCGCGCCTCTAGAATTCTTATATTTTCGCCGGGGCCCACTCCGACTGGAAACTGAAAAGCTGACCAGAATTCTATGATTGAAGTGTCATAAATGCAATGTTTATTTTTCTCCACCAGAGTAAAAGAGTCATTCCTTCCGTCCCTTTTTGTAATGCAAACTTGTGAAAGTCCAGCAATCCCTGCTAACTTCAGCTATCAAGATACCCGGTAAAGGACTTCACCTCCGCCTTCCCAAAATATGAAAACCGGAGACGTGTAATAATAAGGGTATGAGAATGCCCATCAATCCTAATAAGAAGTGAAATAGAGGCCAGAATCACGCACACTAACATTCTGCCCAGGACAGCAAGCAAGTGTGTACATCACTTTCTCAAAGTCTGTTGATGAAATACATGTGAGTACAAGACATAAAAAATGTCAGAGACCTGACATTTTTTATGTCTTGCACTCACATGTATTTCATCGTTCTCTTTTTTATATACTTATAACGTCTCGCCAATTTCCCCCATTTCCTGTTCTCTAGATTCGATCACCACAGAATTTGCGTTCGTGCATTTTGCTTTTATGAACGAAATAGTGATGATTGCTATCAAGTGGGGGAATTGAGTCTTCATCAACGTTTGTAAACAAGTAAGGATATCAAGGACCACAAAAACAAGTTGGTTGGATTTAAGCTGGGTATTAGTGGAAATGCTTTTTCGATATAAATGTGACACCTTGTAGTCGAATTGAGCAATTGTATTCATATTCTCATTCGTTGCCTTTTTTTTTCAATATAATTTTCTGATTTTTTTTCTGCCGCTACAGAATTATTTGCACAAGGATCAGATCCATGTTTAAAATAAGAATAATAAATCGAAAATAGAGAGCAAGTACAGTACTCCGTTTCAGCAAAAGGTGCCTTAGAGCACAAGTCAATTGTCGATTCCGACCCTTGTTCCTCTTTTCAGCGTATGCGAAAAACCTTCGGCGGACTAAAGATTTCATGAATGGTTTTGAGGCAAAAAAAGGTCTAAACCCGAAAAGTTTGAGGCAAAAAAGCATGATGCAAATGCAAATAGCGAATGCAAAGTAGCACAAGAAGGAAAGTAGACAATGTAGGAATAAACAAAGGAGAAAAGACGCTTATGAGAAACCGAAGGCAGAACCTCCTAAAAGTTAGGCTAGGAGACATGAAAGATAAAGTGATACATCGACTTTCAATTTTCCATTTTGACTTTGATTTTTCCCGTCTTTTATTTTATGCTTCGTCGTTTTCCAACTTAGCTTTTGTCACTTGAAACATTATGTAGTCCTGATTAATTATTTATATTGAGTAATTGAATACATGTGGCACAAAAATGTAGAAAGGAAATAAACGACTTTACTTGACCACTTCCTCTATGCTCCGCTATCACTACGGTTAAGATTGTTCCCACGTACAGAAGTCATTCGCACTACGAGTATGTCTTTAGTGGTATAAAAACAAAGTAAGAAATATATAGCAAAAAGATGAGAAGATGTGGTCTTCATTGGTATAATAGATGATATCTTTTATCGTCTTAGTACATTCCTTAAGCCTTTCCATACGATGACAGTACGGGAAGTGGTTGCAGCCTTTTACTATATGGGTTAATTTTTTTCAATTATTATTTTATTTTATAAGAAAGAGTAGGGAGATACTATGGTACAAGGATGAAACCAAACTGAATCCAATAGTATCAGGAAATATGTCATATATCAACTAAGGTTGTATCCTAACTGGATGAAACCCTATACAAATAACATAGCATTCTAAGAATACATCAACTAATGCTATGTGTAAGCAAATAATAATCTATACAATAATCTAAAGAGATATACCCAGTAAACTAATATCTTTATGTCACCCAAGGGTGTGTCCATTCGCATCACCGGACATTACCCTCAATGATAGAACGGTATGTCGTTTTGATGAAGCCAGAAAGTACAGTGACAAGCTGTAGGCACCCTCTTTCCCCCCAGTTGCCTTAGTTCTATAGAGAAAAAAAAAACTCCAATGTCAGATTTGCACAAATTATATACTTATGATGGAATGGATGTGATCCCTAACATGTTGGCGTATGACACATCCGGTAGAGTCAATGTCATACTCCTGAAACCTAGAGATGA